CTGCTCACTGCAACCTCTGCCTCCCAGGCTCAAGTGATCCTCCCACCTCAGCCTCCTGGGTAGCTGGGACTACAGGCACACACCACAATGCCCAGCTAAATTTTTGTAGAAACAAGGTTTCACTATGTTGCCCAGGCTGGTCTTGAATTCCTGGGCTCATGCAATCTGCCCACCTTGGCCTCCAAAAGTATTGAGATTACAGGCATAAGCCACTGCACCTGGCCTGCTTGATGAATTTTTATAAAATAAAACCAAAAAAACACCAAACAAGCCCCCAGATTAAAAACCAAATACCCCAGAACTCACTACTTTTCTGATTTCTCACACTATAGTTTTGCCTGTTTTTTAGCTTTATATAAATGGAGTCATAGAACAGATATTCTTTTATATTTAGCTTGTTTCACGCACTATTATGTTTGTGAGATGCATTCACCATGTTGTTCCTTCATTCTGTTGCGCAGTCTTCCATTATGTGAATGTACCACATTTATTCACGCATTCCTCTGTTGACAGCTATGTGACCTGTTTCTAGTTTTCGCTCTTACAAACAGCACTGCTGAGGAGATTCTTGGATCCATCTTTTTGTGAATGTATGCATGCATTTCTATTGTGTTCTGAAAGTAGAACTGCTGGGCCTATCGTGTGATGTCCATGTTCCAGATGCCTTTTTTGTTTTTTTTTTAAAAGATGGAGTTTCACCCTTGTTTCCCAGGCTGGAGTGTAGTGGCACAATCTGGGCTCACTGCTACCTCCACCTCTTGGGTTCAAGCGGTTCTCGTGCCTCAGCCTCCCAAGCAGCTGGGATTACAGGCGCCTGCCACCACACCTGGCTAATTTTTGTATTTTTAATAGAGATGCGGTTTCGCCATGTTGGCCAGGCTGATCTTGAACTCCCGACCCCAAATGATCCACCTGCCTCAGCCTCCCGAAGTGCTGGGATTACAGGCGTGAGCCACTGCCCCCGCCTCCAGATGCCTTTTAAGGATCACTCCTAGTGATGGAATCAAACACTCTCATGGAGGCACACAGCCAGTAAGTAGGTTTTCCATTCTATCCAAAGAATCACTGCTAATAACTCAGTGCCCGTGGTTCCAGTACTTGTCAGGTCCGTATCTTCTGTAGCCCAACCTCTCTAACGGGTAGCCCTCACAAAGGAATACACATCCATACCCACACTCCATACACCTGTGCTGGCTTGTAAAGAAAGCCAGGTAGCACGGATCCTTCAGTGAAAGGTGTTTCTATAGCCAGATGTGGCCCAGCTACTAGGAGCCTTCAGGGTAGGCCAATGTTTTGGGGACTCTGGAAAGCATCCACTCCTCTGTGATCAACTTCGTGACCAGACTTATGAAATGAAACTATCAGTCGGGCGCGGTGGCTCACGCCTGTAATCCCAGCACTTTGGGAGGTCGAGGTGGGCGGATCACAAGGTCAGGAGATCGAGACCATCCTGGCTAAGACGGTGAAACCCCATCTCTACTAAAAATACAAAAACAAAATTAGCCAGGTGTGGTGGTGAGTACCTGTAGTCCCAGCTACTTGGGAGGCTGAGGTGGGAGAATGGCGTGAACCCAAGAGGTGGAGCTTGCAGTGAGCCCAGATCACGCCACTGTACTCCAGCCTGGGTGACAGAGCGAGACTCCATCTAAAAACAACAACAATAACAACAAAAATATCAACAGATAGGTTAGTTCATCTGATCTCTTTCCTTAAATCTTTTTTTTAATTTAAAATTTTTTGTGGGCATATAGTAGGTGTATATCTTTATGGGGTATATAAATACTTTGATACAGGTATACAATGCATAACAACACATCAGGGTCAATGGGATATCCATCACCTCAATCTTCCCTTATATTTTAAGTGCCTGGTAGAATGCTCACTAAAAATAATCATAAAAGTTTAGGAGCAAAAGGACCTTGTAATACAATTTTCTAATAGAAAACTGCTTTCTAAGCAAGTTTTCAAACAGGAAATGTATATAAAATAAGCACTTAAAGGTTTGGAATGTCAATTTATGGTTCAGAAACATGGAAGGATCTTGGCTGGGAGAGGTGGCTCACGCCTGTAATCCCAGCACTTTGGGAGACTGGAGTGGGCAGATCACTTGAGGTCAGGAGTTCGAGACCAGCCTGGCCAACATGGTGAAACCCCATCTCTACTAAAAATAAAAAAATTAGCTGGGCGTGGTGGTGTGCACCTGTAATCCCAGCTATATGGAGGCTGAGGCAGGAGAATCACTTGAATCTGGGAGGCAGCGGTGACAGTGAGCTGAGATCGCACCACTGCACTCCAGTCTGGGTAACAGGGCAAGATTTTGTCTCAAAATAAAAAAAAAAAAAAGAAAAAGAAAAGAAAAATGGAAGGATCTGGATGGATTCATGCTAGGTTAAAAGAGAGAGAGAGAGAGAGAGAAGCTGGCACAGTAGTTCACACCTGTAATCCCGGCACTTTGGGAGGCCAAAGTAGGTGGATCACCTGAGGTCAGGAGTTTGAGACCAGCCTGGCCAACATGGCAAAAACCCATCTCTACTAAAAATACAAAAATTAGCTGGGCGTGGTGGTGCGCACCTGTAATCCCAGCTACTTGGGAGGCTGAGGCAGGTGAATTGCTTGAACCCGGGAGGTGGAGGTTGCAGTGAGCTGAGATTGCACCACTGCACTCCAACCTGGGTGACAGAGTGAGACTCTGTTTCACAAAAAAAAAAAAAAAAAGAAAGAAAGAAAAGACAAATGGAAGGATCTTGATGGACTGATGCTAGGTTAAAAGAGAGCGAGCGAGCGAGATAAATGGAAGGAGCTACGAGAACAATGTTTCTCAAGATATAGTCTGCAGATCAGCATCAGTGTAAGCATCACCTAAGAGATTGTTAACATTTTTTTAAAATTAAAAATTAATTTAAATTAAAAATTATTCCAGGCCTCACTCCAGAAGCAGAATCTCTTGATGTGGGGCCTGGAAGTTTGCATTTTAACAAGCTCACAAGTGATCGTTAGGCACCCGAAGTTTGAGATTCGCAACACTTGACTCCATGATTGTATTGTATAACTCACTGCATTGGGGTCTTCGTGCTTTGCAAGCCAGGAGCTTTTCTATATGGAGAGATAAAATGGTGTTCTCATTCACCCACAAGCCCCTCTGCTGGTTCAGTAGCAAGTTCCAATTTCTTGTTTGCAAAACTGTTCAGATCCTGGACTCAAGTGGACCTTGTTTCTTTCCTGGGACATCATTGGCTGAATTAAATTGCCCACACAATTTTGTCTCTGTTGGGGATTGTGCCTTCTCACTTGCCCCCCTTGTTTGAGACAGCCCTCTGTGGCTTGCGACATGTCATCCTGAATGCTCTCTGAAAATGTCCTTTGTCCTCACCAGTCGTCCACTTCAGAAGTGGTGGTGTTATTCTGAGGCAGGGCTTGGGATGCCATATAGAATAAAGCTATGATTGTACTAAAAACCACCAGAGGATAAGCGGCTAATACAAACACGAAGAAGGCCTAAGCACACGCTGTACCAGGGGAGAGAATGAGCGAGTGATGCATTGAGACTGCTTTGTTTCTGAGGTCTGGGTGCTCACATGCAGCCCTGACAGGCTTGCTAGTGAGGTTGATAGGATTTGTTTGGTAAGCATACTAACTTCTGGGGCCCAAAGCCCTGTCTCCTGAAAGGTGCCAGCCTAAGTGTCTAAGATTCCTTATGGATTGGGAGGGCTCCATGCTGTGTTCTTGGGTTCTGGTGGCACTGGGGACCTCCCTTGCCCCTCATGCACACACATACATCTACTGTCTTCCTCAGCTCAACCCTAGAAATCCGAGCTTCCCTCCATAAATTCCAACAAACACCAGAGCCTTCCGCTCTGATGGAGAAACGTTACACGCTTCCTCCTTAGCACCATGCTGCTTTTAAAACTTTTAGTAGCCAGTAGTCCCAGCACTTTGAGAGGCCGAGGCGGGCAGATCACTTGAGGTCAGGAGTTCGAGACTAGCCTGGCCAACATGGTGAAACCGTCTCTACTAAAAATACAAAAATTAGCCGGGCGTGGTGGCACACGCCTGTAATCCCAGCTACTGTGGAGGCTGAGAGGCAGGAGAATCGCTTGAACCGGGGAGGCAGAGGTTGCAGTGAGCTGAGATCGTGCCACTGCACTCCAGCCTGGGCGACACAGCAAGACCTTGTCTCCAAAAAAACAAAACAAAAAAAAAAGAAACAAAAAACAAACCTTTTAGTAGAAGCAAAATCACATGCTCTGGGACACTTATGTTATTTCAGTGACAATTTCCCACCACAGGGAACACTGAAATACCACAGGAAATGGTGAATATGAATGGGCAGGGCTGGGCTAAATTTCATGGTGGAAACTTTCTACCAAAATACTTTCCATACAAATTCACTTTCTTTAGTTTTGATGACTACCCACTGGATAATTGTGGCCAGCTGCCATCGACTAACCAGGAAACTGGAAAATACATAAATAAACTGTAATAAACTATTTCATATGGCCTTTTAGGAACTCTGGATCTGGGTCCTTTTTTTGTTGGGAGCCTAGATAAGTGGTACTCTAAACTGAGCAAATGGCGGACTTTGGAGGTCAACACACACACACACACAATGTATACACACATATATACACACAAATATATAGATGTATATGTGCGTATATATATTTTTATTTTGAGACAGGGTCTCCTTCTGTTGCCCGGGCTGAAGTACAGTGGTGCAATCTCACTCATTGCACCCTCAACCTCCCAGGCTCAAGCAATCCTTCCACCTCAGCCTCTTGGGTAGCTGGGACTACAGTTACGTGCCACCATGCTGGACTAATTTTTACATTTTTTATAGAGATGGGGGTGTCACTATATTGCCCAAGCTGGTCTTGAACTTATAGGCTCAAGTGATCCTCCCACCTTGGCCTCCCAAAGTGCTGGGATTACAGGTGTGAGGCACCCTACCTGATATATATATATATATATATTCAACCAGACCCTACTGAGAATAGTAAAGCATATTTAATTACAAAAACTCTTTATTATTTCATAAGAATAGTAGAAAAAGTCTGACAGAAAGGGAAGGGAAGGTAGGTAGTTAACATTTAGGGAGTATCTATTCCATGCCAGCACTTTGCTAGGACTATGACATAAAGAATGCTATTTAACTCTCACAACCATCTCATAAGGTATTATTACCTGCTCTCCATTCTCCTCCTTTTCAGGTTAGGAACAGGTTCACTGAGGTTAGTAACTTGCTCATGGTCACCCACTTGTAGTGACAAAGCAGAATTCAAATGTGGTTCTTTTTTTACTTTCCCCTGGTGCCCTAAAGAGAAAGCTTGTATACAGTCTTAATCCACATGGATCTCCATATTTAAGGCAGCCTGGTTGTTAAAATAAGTAGCACCATTCAATAAGAAAAACCTATGTTATACATCTATAGAATACTCATTTCTAGTTATATTGTGCTATTTGTTTTAATGCTAATTCAGAAGAACAGATAATAGGGTCTGTAGTAGTTGTAAGCAGTCCTTGAATGTGAAAGTGTTAACAATTTTAATCCAACTCCAAGAGGACCAGAACTTGGCATTCCTTAGATGCACCATTTAAAATTGTTCCCAGTGCCCTTTGAATGCTATTTTTTTCCCAGCCAAGGTAGGCTTACGTGGAGGAGATAAAGATGACAGCTTGAGGACTAAGGGTCCAACCCTATATAAATTACATTGGGGGAAACAAGGGAAGGTCTTTGAAGCTCAGAGTCTCTGACTGATATTTTGGGTAGGTTTCAACCCTCTGCATTCTCTTCTACTTGTTTCTAGAGAAAACTGTGGTAGAGGCCTTAGTGAATCCCAGAGTCAAAATCTGTCATCACCTTTTAGCAGGTAAAGCTAGGCAAACCTTTGAGTTTGGAATGGGTAGGGGAAATGTGGTCCCTCACGATAAGCCTCCCTACCCATTACTTTGCTAGAGGGACTGAAAACCCTTTAAAGACTTGGCCTTGGAAACAGAAGATCTAGGGACAGGTAAGGTGGAAAAAGGAGGTTAACCTACACCCCAATGGGCTGGAAGTAACACCTTGACTATTTGCACCATGCCAGCAAATAAAGCTGAGAATCAGCTCAGCCCAAGGCCTGGAAAGGAAACACAAATGCATGAAAAATAACTTGAACCTCATGGTTCTTTCAAAAGTCTCTTCGGCGAAAGTGTGAGTTGAAAAGTCGCGTATCATTTGCAGCTCTCTCCTCATGCTCGCTCTTCTGAGGTTTGACTTTACACAAACCTTGGTCAGCTGCAGAAGCAAGACACAATGGGGACCTCAGAGTGAGGCTGAAGACTCCCCACACCCCCTCCTTGAAGCCCCTTCCAGGTTCCCCACCCGATGTCCTCTAGCTCCTTTGAGCCTCGTCGCCCTTTATGCTATTCTTCCGATATGGGTCGTAATTCCGTCTATTTCGGGTTCTTCCTGCGCATGCCTTAGAGGCCATAAGACCCTGACTCACGTGCGTGTCCTCAAAGCCCCCAGCCCCAAGCGTGGCTGCTGCTGGGCGCATCAGTAAAAGCGAGTGGAACGGAGCAGGCTCCTCCAACCTCTTTCCACCTCTGATTTCCGTTAGACATTTGCTCCCCACGGCGGCCTCCACGAGGCAACGTTGGACACTGAGAGGACAGACGCAGAGGCCCAGGGCGCACTTCCTGCCGGGCGGGGGCGGGGCTGCACCTCCTCCCTCCCTCCTTCCCCACGTGCCCCCTCCCCGCTCCCCCCGCCCTCCCCGCCCCCTCCCGGGCAGCCGCGGCGCCTCGGGGGCGGGGCCGGAGCGGGTGGGCGGCGTGGCTGTGCGGGCTGGACGCCGCTGCCGTGCTGCCAGCGGACCCGCGGCGGGCTCGGGCGCGGAGCGGGGGCGCGCGGCGAGGAGCTGAGCGTCTCAGCGCCGGCAGAGACTAGCCGGCGGTGGCAGCGGCTCCCGGCCCGGCCGGTGGAAGGCCTCGGACTGAGCGGCGGCCGAGCGGGGCTCGGCCCGGGGCGCTCGGGGAGCTCGCAGCGGCGGGGAGCAGGAGGAAGCGGCGGCGGCGCGTCCCGAGCGGTGCGCGCCATGGCGGGCGGGCCCCCCAAGGCCCTGCCGTCCACGGGGCCCCACTCCCTGCGCGACATGCCGCACCCGCTGGCCGGCTCCAGCAGCGAGGAGGCCGTGGGTGGTGACAGCACGCCCAGCCCGGACCTGCTGATGGCCCGCAGCTTCGGTGACAAGGTGGGGCGCCTGGGGTCTGGGAGGCTTATTTCGCTCCCCGTTGGGGGGATGATGGATCCGGAGCCTTCCTGGGCCTGGGGCCGCGCCCACCCTGCCGCCCCTTCCCGGGGGACGGGCGTGCCCTGACCCCGGAGCTCTCGGCAAAAGCGTCTCCTCTGCCGCCTCCGCGGGGTCGCAGCCGCAGAGGGACGGGCTTCGCTGCCTGTGACTGGTCGCGAGCGCCGGTGACAGCTGGTGGGGAGGGGTCCAGCCTGCGTGTTGGGGCGGGAGGCGTGTGTGCAGGGCAGGGCGCCTGTGTCCTCGGATGGGGTTCCGAGTTCCTCCAGGTGCATCCCTGCAGGCTGAGCTGCTGCATAACTTGTAGCTCCTCCAGTTTCCCGAGACTGCACAGAAGCAGGAGTTCATGGCTTTCCGTGCTGGGACCGGGCAGCCCTGGGCTTACAGCGAGAGTCTTCTTCCCCCGAGTCAGTCATGTGGGGAGTGATCTTTGTTTAGGTTTGCTGTTTGTCCTGAGGAGTCACCTGACTCAGACCCCAGCCGGCGGCGGGAGGAGAGCCTCGTTGTGGTTTTCTGTCTGGGGCTCCATTCACCTCCGACGGCCTACCACTCTGTTTAGGTTTGGCAGCGGCTGGTTTTGTGGTTGATGGAAAGAAAGCTCGCCCTTTGACCTTCTTTGTACAGAGGGAGGCTCCAGATTTTCTTAGAGCAGCACAACCCTCCTGCTGCTTGGAGACACAGGAGAGTCCAGGCAGGGGTAAGGGACGGCCTCCTCCCTATCCCCATGGCCATTTCAGCTGTGAAGGGGACTTGAGCAGTGATTGTATCCTCGCTCCTGCCGTCACTTAGTCGCTAACTGCAGAAATTAGCATTGTTCTCAGGTCTTGTGATCAAGATTTTCTCTCCCCAGTAAAATACTAAATGGATTCCCCCTTGTCCCAATATTAATGGGAGCAGGGGACCTAACTTTCTTCTCCCGTCAGAGGGGACACCATGTGGTACAGTAAAAAATGAGTATGAGAAAATATAACCTGCCCGCCTTGCAGCACTTAAAATCACTAGAGAGTGGGACTTGACTTGATGTACCTTCTGCACAGGATTTGTGAAAGCTGGGAGTGAAGTTCCAAAGCATTAGGAACAGGAAAATTTAAAAAAGCTAATGGAGGCCGGGTGCAGTGGCTCACAACTGTAATACCAGCACTTTGGGAGGCTGAGGCAGGATGATTGCTCTGGGCCAAAAGTTTGAGACCTGCCTGGGCAACATATTGAGACCCCATCTCCACACACACACACATACACACACACACACACACAGGTGGCATGCACCTGTAGTCCAGGCTACTCAGGGAGGCTGAGGCTGGAGGATTGCTTGAGCCCGGGAGTTCAGGGCTGCAGTGAGCTATGATTGCACCGCTGTACTCCAGCCTGGGCAAGAGAGTGAGACCCTGTCTCCAAAAAATGTTGAATGACTGAATAAATTTGTTTTCTTATGGACAAAAATTGGTCTTAAAATAGTGTAGGAACTGGGGTTAAACCTCATTTCCTTCTCAGTTCTGTGTAGGATACTGAATTAATTATCTATTGCTGTGTAGCAAATTACCCTAAAACTTACCCTCTGGAAATAGTGTCTGTGGGACAATCTGAGTGGTTCTGAATTAGGCCTTTCTTGAGGCTGCAGTCATCTGAAGGCTGGATTAGGGGAGGATCCACTTCTAAGCTCACTCACATGGCTGTTGGCAGGCCTTAATTACTCTCCATAGGGCTGTTGGATGTGGCAACTGGTTTTCCCCCCAGAGCAAGTGATCCAAGAGAGCCCAAGACTAGCCAGTCTTGTATAACTTGCCTTGGAAATGACATGCCTCTGATGTATTCTGTCAGTCACACAGATTGACACTGGTACAATGTGGGGAGACGGTGTGAATACCAGGGTGTGCATACCAAGTGGTGGGGATCATTGGGCCATCTTGGAGACTGACCACTACAGATAGCTATTTTAAATATTTGCTTAACGAATCACTCATGGATGATACCTGACTCAGAAGTATGGGTGTTTCACTAGTAAGTACTTGGAAGACAGATTCTCCGTACCACCGAGATCTAGTTAGTGGTCAAGAAGTCAGTCTCAGGTCTAATTACTGATGGCTTCCTTTAAAGGGTCTGTTCTGTGTGGGAGGGTGAGTCTTGGAGGCATTCTTAATTATTGAATATATATGTATTTTTTGAGACAGAGACTCACTCTGCCACCCAGGCTGGAGTGCAGTGGCCTGATCCTGACTCACTGCAACCTCCACCTCCCTGGTTGAAGTGATTCTCGTGCCTCAGCTCTCTTGTAGCTGGGATTACAGGCGTGTGCCACCTTGACCGGGTAATTTTTGTATTTTTAGTAGAGACGAGGTTTCGCTATGTTGGCCAGACTAGTCTCGAACTCCTGGCCTCAAGTGATGTGCCCACCTCAGCCTCCCAAAGTGCTGGGATTACAGGCGTGAGCCACGGTGCCTGGCCTAATTATTGAATATTTATTGAATCTCCTAACAGCTGTGGGGAGCATCTAAATGATACCATTCTCAAGGGCCTGATTTATAGTAAGCCACTTTTCCTTAGAGGCTAAGCATTGTAATTTCTTTCTCTGACTAGGAGTAACATTTTCCTTGAATCTTGGCATACGCGTATGGTCTCATAACTCTGAAGAAATTTCTGTAGAGAGAAGCTAGCAAGCCACAGAGGTGAGTCAGAGCCAGAAGAAGGAAGCCTTCCCTGTGGCTGGCTTTCTCCTGCCTCAGCAGCATGAGGGTCATCAAAGGGGTGGTAGGACAGTTCAGTGCTATGGTCTGTCTTTGAAAAGAAGCCAGTTTTGTCTTATTAGATACTAGGGTTGTGATCCTGGATGACAGGGATTCTGGGTCGGTTCTGGGCTAGAGGAATGAAGATTTGACAGGCTGATCATAGTACAGGGTTATTATGCAGAGGGGAATTGCTTTCTGAGGGGCCAAGATGGTGCTATGAACAGGGTAGCCTTGTGTCTTGGTCCAGCTGACACTTGTGAATGAACTCTGTACTGCTTGGGTAGAAGAGAAAGACCAAATATGATGGACTGTCCACCAGTTTCTGAAAGTTTTCAAATCATGGTGTGATGCCTCCCTTCATAGGCTCCCAAAGGAGGAATCCTTTCTATCTACCAGAGGTTGCCAGGACTAATTCTTTGGATGCCCGCTAAACTCACCTTTTTTTTTTTTTTTCTTTTTTTTGAGACAGAGTCTTGCTGTTGCCCAGGCTAGAGTGCAGTGGTGGAATCTCACTACATCTTCTGCCTCCTGGGTTCATGTGATTCTCCTGCCTCAGCCTCCTCAGTAGCTGGGATTACAGGTGACCGCCACCACACCTGGCTAATTTTTGTATTTTTAGTAGAGATGGGGTGTCACCATGTTAGCCTGGCTGGTCTCAAACTTCTGACCTCAGGTGATCTGTCCACCTCAGCCTCCCAAAGTACTGGGATTACAGGCGTCAGCCTCACTGGACCTTATATGGCTATCTCCATCTAAAATGTAAATACATCGCTTAGCCTTACTCTGCTTTTTTAACTTTCATCTGCAAATTGTTCCAGGCTGCTTCTCCTCTGACTCAGCCTCCAACTTCTGTGCCCCTCCCAAAACTTAATACTGGATTCTTAAGCCCCATTGTGTGGCTAACACCTCTTCCCACATCCTCAATCTCTTCTCTGAACTCTTCATCTATTTCCTGCCCCCTTAGGTCACTTAGACATCCTCTGAAGTCTTCAAAATAGAGAAGACTTTTCCTCCATCACCTTTTACAAACCAGGCTCTGCTCCTTTGAGGCTCCTGTCATTCTTTTTGTTGATTTGATACATATTTGAAGGCCTACTATGAGCCAGGCACTGTTCTAGGAACTTGAATAAGTTAGCTGAAAACTCTGCCCTCACTGGATACATTTCAGTGTGTTTGTACTGTATTGCACAGTAAATGCTATGGAAGGAGGAAAAAGAACTGGCCACGAGGAAGAGGATTTGGCAGGCCTTGTTGAGAACTTGACATTTGAGCAGACTGGAAGGTGAGGGAGTTAGTGGGTGAGTATCTGAAGAGTGTCGGGGGAGGGACCAGTGGAAGCAGAGGCTGGAAGGCACAGGGCCGGTATGTCAGGGAGCAGCCTAGAGGCCAATATGGCTGGGAAGAGTGAGCATTGGACAGTTAGAGGCTGGGGGCAGAGAAGGGAGGGGTCAGATTATATTGAGTGTGGCCGGTCACCCTGAGGACTTTGGCCTTTACTGTCAGGGCCATGGGGTGGGAAGTTAGCATGGGCAGGGGGCATTTCAGGGTCTTCAGCAGGAGGGGGGTGTAGTTTGATCATGTATTGAAAAGGATCACATAGGCTGTTCAGCTGAGACTACCTTGAGCCCCTGAATTAGTTAGGATTCTTTATTAGTTAAAAGGATATGAGCTGAATGCAAACTGGATACAGGAAAATAAAAATCTACTGGCTCACGTTGCTGAAAAGGCCCAGGTATTTTGGCTTCAGGAATGACTGGGGCAAGGTATTCCAATGATGTTGGGGATCTGTCACTTTCCATCTCTTGGCTCTGCTTTCTTCTGTGTCAGCCTTGTTCTCACGCCAGTGAAGGGATATGTTCTATAAACAAGCTTCCCAGCTCCAGCAGAAGGAGAGCACTCCTTTCCTGATAGTTCCGGCCAAAGCTCTGGGCTAGTGTCTCATTGGTCTAAATTGGGTCAGGCGCCTAAACCAGTCTCTGATTCTGATTGCGCAGACCTGAATCAGGTACTTATCTTCGGAATGAGGAAAGGAATTTTTTTAAAATTGGGGTATATATACATGAAGTTTATAACAATGTGTGTGTATAAAGAGTAAAACTTACCTGTACAGTTTAAAGAATAATAAAAATGTTCCTACCCCCAGATTAAGTTACAGAAAATTTCAAATATTTTGGAAGCCCCCTCTGTGCCTGGGAAGGGAGGAGGTGGTTTCCAGAGCAA